GGAGGAGGAAGGGGGCGGCCGGAGGAGGAGGAGGGAGGGACGGTGGGAGGAAGGCGGCCGAAGGAGGAGGGGGAGGAGGGAGTACCTCGGCGAGGAGCAGCGCGGCGGTGGCGGACGACGGGTTCGGCACGGGCGAGAGCGAGTGAGAGGGAGAGAGTGAGTGAGAGGGTGCAGTGAACCGCTCTAGTATAAGGTAAGTAAGTAGTAGCGTGTTTCAGAGAAACGCGCTACTGCTAAGGGACTTAGCAGTAGCACTTGTTAGGACTACGCGCTACTGCTAAGTGGGGCTAGCCATCTGCGCCCAGTACAAGTATAGCAGCAGCGCGGTTTAGGAGAACGCACTACTGCTAAAGTAGTAGTAGTAGTAGGAGTAGCGCCCTGTTTTGTCCGGCGCTACTGCTAAGATGATGTGTATAAGGTTTTCCCTAGTAGTGTTAGCTGACCTGGGCGCTATTGCCTTCCGCCGTACCTTCGGGGTGGTGGAACTTGCGCAATGGGATGAATTGCTTGCGGGTATTGCCCTCCACCCTCCCTCCCTGGAACCTAATTTGCTATCTTGGCATCTCGAGTCAAGTGGTAAATTCTCGACTAGATCCTTATATTAGGCGATTATCCCCACACCTGACCTGGTGGAACTATCAGTGCTTTGGGAAATCAAACTCCCCTTGAAAATCCGCATATTCGTTTGGCAATGGGTTCGCGGCCGCCTACCTTCGGGTACGGAGGTCCGCAAACGTAATGGCCCTGGGGATGGCCTCTGCCCCATTTGTTTGGTACCGGAAGATTGCAACCACATCTTCTTCCGGTGCCCTACAACGCAGTTCCTATGGAGCTGCTTCCGGGAGGTGGTTGGTGGCAATTGGTGCCATGACAACCTCCCGGACTTATTTGGGGAGGTTCTTAGGCTCCCTGGTCCTAGCCGCCCCCATGTGGGTGGCTTTGGGTACCCAAGCGTGGACCCTCTGGTGTAACCGTAATAAACTAGTCATAGAACGCGTGATTCCTTGCCGTGTGACTAATGCAATCTACAAAATATGTGGCCTCTTATAGCTTTGGAGATCGCTTAGCAAGCGGAGAGACCGGGACGGCATCAACTTCATCATAGTTGGTCTTCGTTCTTCGGCGTCGGCATTTGCGCCTCCTCTGTCACCACCACCACCACCACCTCCCGAGCCGGATTAGCTTCTTTTTAGCTTTGTTTGGGGCTTTTCTTGTTGTGCCCCCAGCGCGACTTTGACTTGATTGTACTCTGTACTGTTATGTTGGATGCTTGGTTCGTTGCTTTATAATATAAAGCGGGAGGAAACCCTTTTTCATAGTCGTGGGAGACATTGGTGTGCATAGCCACCTCCCCACCATGCGTTCCGCGTCGCTAGCCGTTTCCGTCGCTTCGCCCTTCCCGCCCTCCTACCCCAGTTCGAGCCGGGTGCTGGCCGTTTTCTGCTGGAATCGAGCTCAAACGTTGCCGTCGCATCGATCTTGTCGCTGGAAAGAGGTTCAGATCTTATTCCTCCTAGCATCACCGTCCACTGTCGGCCATCTCGAAGCCCCATCAACCGGTAGTATCTGCTCAACGTTATCGGCCGACCGCGACACCTCCTTCGCATGTTCGACGATTTGCCTAGGTGAGTTTTTTACTTTTTCATCTAATTTATTGTCAATTGAACCTTGAAGATGTCATCTATCCTCCATGGGCCACATTTGTCAAGACAAACTCACGGCCTAAAGGTAACAAGATATCTCACTTTGTAATGTGTCAAGAGTCGACAAGGAAGGATCTGGAGAGAGCTTTCGGTGTGCTTCAGAAGTGCGTTGTCATCATTCGTGGCCATATCGAGTATTGGAACCCCAAAATTCTATGGCAAATCATGACATGTTGCATCATCTTACATAACATGATAATTGAAGATAAGAGAGAGGCATGCCTGAGAACTTTTGGTGCATCTCCAATGGGATCATGTTGAGTCGGAGTATAGCTGGCCAAATGGCCCGGGCCAACCAGGCTGGCCCGCGAGCACGCCCCGCATGGCCCGCCATGGGCTAGGCATGGCACGGGCTAAGCGGGATGGGCCCGACACGCAGCACGCCCCTGGGCCGTGCTTGGGCTGCTAGGCTGAGCACGCGGGCCGACACGGTACGACCTGATTATCTTTTATTTATTTATATATATATCTTCATATGACCCAACAAGTAAAAATAGGCTTAAAACGCCCAGTACGCCAAATAGCAGGCAGACTAGTGGTCTGGCCTGGCGTGCCGGTGGGCCGGCCCGATTAGCAGCCGGGTCGTGCCTTGGCTGCAGGCTGCAGCACGCGACCGGCACGACATGGCCCGTATAATAATCATGCCTCGGCGGGCCGGGCCGTGCCAGACACGATTAGAATCGGCCGGGCCGGCCCGTTTGGCCAGCTATGAGTCGAAGCACATTGCAAATATGATATAAAGATTCCTCGCAGCGCATCGCAGAATTGAGAACTGAGAAGTTCATACCCAACTCCACGATGATCTTGTCGGGCTTTAGTGACATCTCCATAGCACTTCGTAGTTGTGCTTTTATCGTGTTTTTTTTACTTCATTTGAACCCTTCCATGTGTTTGGATATGAATAATTTGGTTTGTAAACTATGAATCTGTAATACTCATGAATTGTGTGAACCTTAACTGTTATCTTTGGATTTAATATGTGTGCAAATATGCAGTTGAAACAATGTAAACTAAAATTAGAAATATTTAGCTTTTTTTATCTTACTTCGTTAAATTTGAAAGATTTTTAGGCTCGCAGACGCTACGGGGTGGTCCTGCCCCGTCAGATCCTACTCCCCACCAGGCCACCGCCTGTCCACTACAGTCGTGGTACATGGAGCCAGTGCAGCTGCAGTGCACCGCCGCC